TTGAATGTTGAACGGTGCTGAGCCTCAGGTCGGAATGTTACTCCGTTAGCGCGGCACAAAATCAACAAACAAACTTTATTTACTTTTTGTTACACATTTATTTTATTTCAACGATACATTTCAAAAAATCTTGGACAATAATTTGCAGTGGCGGACCCAGGGGGGGATTATAAATACCTGAAACCTGGCAAATTAGAATAGAAAATTTTGGAAATAAATAAATACCCTAATATATTTATCTTTTTTTTTGGTATCTGTGGTGCTTATTAAAATATCAATTGAAGCCAGGCAACAGCAGTTTTTGGATTTTCCTTTCTTATTATTTCCTTGATCCACTTTTTTATAAGCACTATGATGGCATACAAAAACATATCTAAAAAATGTATTTTCCAAAGTCTATTCGCATCCAAGAAGATTCTACGTCATTGAATTGACATTGAACACAAACCTGCATTTGAATCTGTTATAATTATTTTTCGCTGACTTCACATTCCAATCCGTGTATGTTATATCACTATACTCTTCTATCCATTGCTTTATATCGTTTTTCTCCAAATTGTTGGATCGGTAAATTTGCTCACCACATTGAAAGTGTTTAAATGATCCAGGCAAACTCATCTTGCATGTTTAAGCACAAGAACACATGAAGCAACGGCAAAATAAACCGCATCCGCCGCAAAATTGTAGCTAAGAGGAACACGAAGGAGGTGGGCAGCTGATTAAATATAAAAACCGCGCCAAACGCATGGCAACATTCGGACCTGATACTCAGCAATGTTTAACATTTTGACCTTAGATTCGGCACTCCACATGGCTGTTGCTAATGGACCATTCTGACCTGAGGCTCAGCACCGTTCAACATTCAAGTACGGATTTCAGCACTCCGCATCAATTGGCGGTCCGAATTCAAACGGACCAATGAGATATGCCTAGGTGCCGAATCCTATACCCGAATGTTTAGATGCCACCCGGGCCCATCAACGCCTTGCTACGGCGCTGGATGTGGTGGTACCCGCAGCTTCTAAGAAGTTTCGCACTAATGCTGCGGTGTATGGTCGGGCATTATCCTGCATCAATATAAAATTCTGCCCACTAACTCTGCATTGGGTAAGACATACTGTCGTATAATGCCGATGTAGATTTGGGCTGTCACCGACTGCCTTACCAGAAAAACATGAAGGGGTGTTGTTCCATTTATAGATTTCATTATGAATGACTTTGGCAGAAAGTCGACAAACAAAGTCACATAACCTATAAATAGCAACGTCAATGTTATTATTTTTTTTTTCAATTTTGGGCTTAAATTTAATAATTATGGCAGTTTTGGGAGAACGTGATATTTTTTATCGAGAGGCGATGAAGCGATGTGTGTTTGGTGATTTTAAAAGTGATAGTCGAACAAGTTCCATTAAATTAACGACCCCATTTGCCTCTACTGAAGTTTTAGGTAACACAGCACCTGTCACATCACTTTCTGTTAATTTTATCAAACGTTTTGCAACCAAAGAAGCCATAGCGAATGCACCGAATACTTACGAAAGCGTAGATTTGACAAGATGCTGTGTTACCTTAAACTCCAGTGGAGGCAAATGGAGTCGTTAATTTAATGGAACTCGTTCGACTATCACTTTTACAATCACCAAACACACATCGCTTCATCGCCTCTCGATAAAACATATCACGTTCTCCCAAAACTGCCATAATTATTAAATTTAAGCCCAAAATTGAAAAAAAATTAATAACATTGACAATGCTATTTATAGGTTATGTGACTTTGTTTGTCGACTTTCTGCCAAAGTCATTCATAATGAAATCTTCTATTTCCAGATTCTTTTTCTTTCATCCACCATAATGTTCAGGCAAAACCTTGACTCATCCGTAAACAAGACATTCGACCATTCAGGAATATTCCATTCTCCATAATTTTTAACGAAATTTCTTCTAGCAGCACGATGTTCCGGCGATAATTTAGGACCTTTTCCATGAAGCAACTGCTCGAAGAGCGATCCGCAAGTACGAACCAACAGGAAGTACTGCTCGAAGGGTGGGTTCTGGTCGCCCTCGAAAAACTTCTCAAAGAGATGATCACAAGAGTCTTCGGTGGTAGCCCCGAAACAATTTATATGCGACGTTGCAATTTTTGGCATTTTCATGTTCGGACTGGAATCAGCGCCACGCCACACCACGCCACGCCACCCCAGTTATTTATTATTATTATTATCTGGCTTTTTGAGTTTTAAGTGGACAGAGAATATCATAACCTTTTATAATTTGATAATTGAATAAAATTGAAACTACAAATTTTGTATTTTGAAGCACTGCCTTTTGATTGGAGTGGAACTGGAAACTCGTTTGTTTTCCTACAGGGCGGAAAGTTTTTTCATATCAAATTCGGAAAAAAATAGTTATTTTTCTAACAAGTGCGGGAAATACCATTTCTCGCAAGTGTTAAGCCTAGTACTCATAATAGCGAAATTCCTTCGACAATTTGACGTTTTATACGTGAATTAAACGTTAGGTTATTTTGAAGGAACCCAATTTTTCCCAAGGGTGTGCGGAAAGATTACTCTTTGTGCATGCCAAAAACTTTTTTCCGTACATTCGTAGGAAAAAAAACGGATCATCTTAGTTTCAGGTGTCCAGAAAATGCCAGAGATTATCATGTTTTTAATCCCTAGTGAGACAGTTCATTGAGCTAAAAGTGTCTGCCAACTGGTACATCAGCCGCAGACCTCCACTCTTGGAGTAAAATGCATTATTCGAGTTTAAAGCACACAAAAAAATTAATTCCTAAACGTTAAATTCTTGTTAAAATCATCTTTTCTACATTTAAAATCGACGAAAAAATCAAATAACGACCACAGCCTTCCATCGAGGTCTGCGGGTGACGTCATCCCTATTAGCAGCTGTTGCGACGTCACGCGTAGACCCTGCCTACTCAAGAATTGATGAACGTACGCCTTATTATGATGAGCAATCCTGTTTATAGCCGGACTCTCATGAATCCGTTTTCCGACGAAAGATGTCCGAAAAACCTTCTATTCTGACATATCGTATAAAAATATGTTAAAATAGAACGTTTTTCGGACATCTTTTGTCGGAAAGCATGAGGCTCCGGCATACGATTGTATAAAAATGTCGAAAATTCCAACAAAATCCAAATGTTTCATTGCACAAACAAACTAGCATCTGCAAAGAACTTTTTTTCTGACCATTGAAAAATAAATAATTTTCTGCAACTTGAAAACATTACCTCCATATTTCAAAAACTTTTTCATCACTCGTTAAACAACAAACATCCGCACCTGTTAGAAAAATCTAACCCAAACAAAATAATATACTTTGACGTCAATTTGGCAACGCAGCACTCCTTGCTTTAACCTTTTACAATTGTTCGAAAAAAAAAATTGTTATTTTACTAACAAGTGCGGGAAATACCATTTCTCATTTCTCACAAGTGTTAAGAACACAATTTTTCCCAAGGGCCTGCGGAAAGATTGCTCTTTAGTCTTTGTGCATGCCAAAAGTTTTTTTTTCAGCACATTCGTAGGAAAAAAACGGATCATCTTTGCTTCAGGTGTCCAGAAAATGGCAGAGATTATCCTGTTTTTAATCCCTAGTAGGACTGCTTATTGAGCTGAAAGCTGAAAGTGTCTGCCAACTGCATGTCAGCCACAGACCTCAACTCTTGGAGTAAAATGCATTATTCAAGTTCAAATCACTATAATATAGGTCAAAGAAACGAATTCCTAAACGTAAAAATCTTGTTTAATCGCCTTTTCTACATTTAAAAACGACGAAAAATTCAAATAACGAGCACAGCCTGAAACCTGAGTAGCAAGCCTTCCATCGAGGTCTGCGGGTGACGTCAACACTATTAGCTGCTGTGGTGACGTCACTCGTAGACCTTGTCTAGTCAAGAATTGGTGAACATATACCTTATTAGGATGAGCGAGTACAAACAAACTAGCATCTGCAAAAAACTTTTTTTCTGAACATTGAAAAATAAACAAGTTTTGTCAAAAATTATTTTCTGCAACTTGAAAACATTACCAACATACTCTAAAAACTGCTGTTTTCGTCACTCGTTAAAACAATAAACATTGTCCGCACCTGTTCTAACCTAGACGTTAATTTCGCAACGCAGCAATCCTTGCCTTAGGGCGGGTATTATAAAACTACTTTGAGAGTTAACTTAAAGTTAACTTCTGGAATTACATGTAATTCAAAAAGTTAACTTTAAGTTAACTGTCAAAGCAGTTTTATAATACCCGCCCTTAACCTTTAGAATTGTTTTGGGCTCCCACCAAGCTCTTGTTGAGGAACTCCGGAACAGCTCCGGGGCGTTACGCGCTTATTCCTTTCGAAAAGTGTTTGTTGCATCTGAGTACTCGAGCCCGAACTAAACCATTTAAATGCATGGAAACCTGCGCATCTGTTCCTTTCAAATCCGGGCGACTAACACCGGAGCGAGTAGCTCTAGTGTTTCAAACTCTTGAAAGGAATACAGCTAATATTAGCTCTGTTCCAACAGACATGAGAACCGTTCGAGAAAAGGTAATTTCCAGTCGATCAATTCATTTGGCAATTGGGATAAACGTTCAACTTATTGAAAAATATAGGTGCGCAACTGGAAATAACTGGTTCTGAAACGGTTCTCATGTCTGTTTGAACAGAGCTGTTAAAATCCCCCTTTCTACATTTAAAATCGCCGAAAAAATCAATTCACAAGCACAGCCTGAATCGCAAACAATCCATTGAGGTCTGCGGCTGACGTCACCACTATCCAATATTATTTTCAGCTGCTGAAAGCGGTGACGTCAGCCGTAGACCTGCCGACTCGAGACTGGCGAACCGTGAACGTTAATCGGATCAGCGTTTCCGAAAAAGCCTTATATTTCAACCAGAAGACAAAAGAAATCGCCTAACTTGGTGAAGAAATAAAAGAAGAATCAAGTCAAATGTTACCAGCGTAACCTCAATTTCGTTGTCAAAACTGTCGAAACTCGAACTTTTCGCACTTTCTAGGTTAAAAATTGATCCTACACCTTTGAAGCTTATCCGATTCCAATTAAATACCCAAATAAACAAATCGGTTCACTCCTGTTACGTAAGGGATAATCGACAAAATAACAACAAAGAAAAAAAAGCAAAAATAAAGGTAAAACCTGCAAAAGGTGACAAAAACTACGCATTTAAACCTGATGTCACTTGACAAATGTCAACAAAGGGTAATTTTTAATTTTTATATTTTTAGGCGAACTTTTATTACCTATCCCGATGTATTTTTGGCTGTAATTGTACACACGCTGCCGGTAGATGTTTGTGAGGCTGCTGCACTGTCCAAGCACACATTGCATGAACTGAAGAATGGCTGCTTTTTTACCTCGCTCAATATCAATGATGTCCGGTGACGGACCGCATAATCTTCCAATTGCCGCTACAAATGGTATTGACAATTCTCCCTTGCAGATTTTTGTCAAGGCCAAGAAGAAGATCAACGATATTTTTGGAGAAATCGAGGACTATGTCAAGGACACTGTTGACTACATGCATGAAGTCCAAAAAGAAGACCATATCGTTTCCCAAGAAATTGTCAGGCAAATTGAAGAATTTGTCCATAAGGTGCATAGCATCAGAGAAGTACTTGCAAGGGATCACATGAAAGTTGCCTTTTTTGGCCGTACATCTAATGGTAAAAGTTCCGTTATCAATGCCATGTTGAGGGACAAAATATTGCCTAGTGGTATTGGGCATACAACTAATTGTTTTTTGCAAGTTGAAGGTTCCACAACAGAAGATCCTTATTTGACTTTGGAAGGGTCAAATGAACAGCGTGCTGTTGAATCAGTGGGCCAACTAGCCCATGCCCTTTGTGAAGAAAAACTAAGCGAATCTGAAATGGTTCGTGTTCACTGGCCCAAAAATAGATGCCTTTTACTTCGTGATGACGTAGTTTTTGTTGATTCACCTGGTGTCGATGTAACACCAAATTTAGATGAATGGATCGATAAACATTGCTTGGACGCTGACGTTTTTGTTTTGGTTGCAAATGCCGAATCTACCTTAATGGTTACTGAGAAAAATTTCTTTCATAAAGTATCTACAAAATTATCAAAACCAAACATATTTATTTTGAATAATCGTTGGGATGCTTCTGCCTCAGAACCTGAATACTTAGATCAAGTCAGAAGGCAACATCAAGAAAGGGCCATAGATTTTTTGGTAAAAGAATTGGGTGTGTGCACTCCCAAAGAAGCTGAAGAAAGAATATTTTTCATATCAGCCAAGGAAGTCTTACAAGCTAGACTAGCTGAACAAGGCCACACTGCCTTAACACCTCTAACTGATGGTTTCCAGACTAGGTATTTTGAATTTCAAGATTTTGAAAGGAAATTTGAAGAATGTATTTCAAAGTCTGCTGTTAAAACAAAATTCGAGCAACACTCCCAAAGAGGCAAATTTATAGCAAACAATCTAAAAGAACTCTTAGAAGACTTATATAATGAAGCTTCAAAGTTAAAAGAAGAAAAATTATATCAAAGAAAAGAGTTAACTGACAAAATTAATTACACAGAACAACAATTAATGATTATCACACAGGAAATGAAAAAGAAAATTCAAAATATGGTTGAAGATGTTGAGCAAAGAGTGTCCAAAGCTTTAACAGAAGAAATTAGACGTCTAAGCAAATTAGTTGATGACTTTAACCTGCCTTTCCATCCAGAGCCTTTGGTCCTCAATGTTTACAAAAAAGAACTACATTTACATGTCGAAACTGGTTTAGGTTCAAATTTGAGAGCTAAACTATCAACAGCCTTAGCTATGAATATCGAACAAAGCCAAATGGAAATGACTGCTAAAATGGATACTCTTATACCAGAAAATTATAGAAAAACCAGCAATATAATCATGCCAAGAAGGCAACCATTTGAAATTTTATACAGGCTAAATTGCGATAATTTATGCGCAGATTTCCACGAGGATTTAGAGTTTAGATTCTCGTATGGAATCACAGCTTTGATTCAAAGATATGCTGGTAGCAAAGGCGGATTTTTTGCATTGAAAAATAAAAGAGAAGATCTTCATTTAGCTCCATCAACCCCAGTGAACAATCAATTATTATATGCCAACTCGAGCTTGGACGACTGGTCCATTATATCCAGAATAGCCATAATGAGTGCATCATCACAAGGTACCATGGGCTGCCTTTTAGTCGCAGGTTTTATGTTTAAAACTATTGGTTGGAGAGTAATTGCTGTTACGGGGGCTGTATACAGCTGCCTTTATTTATATGAACGCCTTACATGGACTAATAAAGCTAAAGAACGCTCATTCAAAAGACAATATGTGGATCATGTAACACGCAAGTTGCGCATGATTGTCGACTTAACTTCTGCAAATTGCAGCCATCAAGTACAGCAAGAATTGAGTGGCACTTTTGCCAGATTGTGCAGCTGGGTGGACAAAGCTAACACCGATATGGATGAACAAGTTAAAGTTCTAGAAAAAGAAGCTGTCACTTTGGATAGTGCAGGAGGTAGAGCTAAAGTTTTAAGAAACAAGGCGAATTATCTTTCACACGAACTCGACCTGTTTGTTGAAGCATATTTGAAGCTCCATAAATAATTTGCAAACAGATGTGGATGATTATTTATGATTAGTAATTTGATAGATATGTTGATAATGTTGTAAAACGATTAACCACAAGACCATTTGATTCAAGTTATTTATTTACTTGTTATTTTTTGTTCTCTTGATATTTAGTGAACTTTTATCATTGTACATGATTTATTAGCTAATAAAATGTGTTTGTCTTTGAAGTTTTTTTTTTCTATGAATGTAGAACTATTCACTTCACAAGTCCGAGAACTGACTTCTCATACTCAGCGGGGATAATAATTACTTCAGAGACGTGTATTGTACATTTTGTTTTATAATGTTTTATTAAAAATTAGAATTTTCAAGGTTGTTGCTCAGTAATACTTTGTAAAATGAAAACAAAAATCCTAATCTCTGAAAGTAACTAAATTTTCCTTACATAAATTGAAGAAATTTGCACTGGGATTATGTATTGGATTGAGATCGTTATCTCTATCGCTATGGCAAGTGCTGTCTTCTGTTCTCTTTACGAAATCAATAGAGAAGGGTTGCGATTAGAGATAGAGAAAATATCTCTATTTGTTACATACTCTCAGGGCTGATTATTTTAGTACAAAAATAACAGGCTGGAGTAGGGTATGAAGCTTTTCAGAGTTATTTAAACAATAGGTATCAAAAAGTTGAGGAGAATTGCTTTCTACTGTAAAACAAGTAAAATAATATGCAAGGAAATGTGTTGAGTTGTATACTCTTTATACTGTACCGGATTATTCACTATATTTTGACCCCCCAACTGCAGCCTTTACCTTTACAGGTAGATGATAGGTGTAAATACAAAAGTTGTGCAGTTTTAGCTAAATTTTTAAAACCCATCGTCAGAAACAAAAAATTATTGTCAGAAATTTGAAATTTTGTCTACTTTCAATTTTTTTCGAATGGAATGCCCTTTATTTGATTCTATATTCTTGAAGAGCACAATTTTTCGATTCCAGAAATATTAGTTTGCCTATATTTTGTTGAGTCGTCTCCAACATATTTGGCTCTAAAAATTGTAAAAATACCATTCCACTGACTTAGATTTTGTGAACTATTCTACCTGTAAAGGTGAAAGCTGCAAGTAAAATTTGAGGCACTTGGTTCCTCTAGTATTTTTATAATTTTTGGATCCAAATATGTTGGAGACGGCTCAACCAAATATAGACAAACTATAAATTTTTGGAGTCGGAAAATTGTGCTCTTCAAGAATATACCTAGAAGATAAAAAGAAGAAGCAATCAGGTTTTGATTGTGATTGCATTACAGTAAAATTAATTTTGAAAAAGCGGGTACCCATAAGGGAATGGACCACCAATTAGAAGTTTTATTAAGCCGAGGGGTCAACCACTATGCTTAGAAATGTACAATGATTTCCATATTTGACAATCACTGATCAATGAATCTCATGTATTCCCATCCCAAGAATTGCGACTGATTGCCAATGATTTTCAGATATTTTGGATGATTAACAGGTGATTTCCATATTTTCTGGGGATTCCTATATAATTCCCAATTGATTAACTGATTTCCCCAATGATTTCCTACAATCATCCAATTTCCAGTTGATTTTATTACGAAAATGATGTCTAATTGTTAAGCTTCACATTGATATATCCAAAATAAACAGTCTTTTCTCTTATAAAAACACGTTTCCACTGAAAAATTGGGAACTTCTGAATTTGCAACTCTTCCAAAAGTTAGCAACTTTTATTTTCATGGTTATCCACACCCATACCGATTTTGTTGTAGGTATAAATAGTTGAGCATTACGTGTCTACACTGCATAATATGGATCTAAAATAATGAATGTTTCTTTGATTTCACTAGGATTCACATCTGAATCACAGACATTTTTAGTTAGGGTTTCACTTGACAAACTTATTTCTGATTCTGATTCAGATGAGCTATCGTCTCTGCTTCTTGCCCTGCCTAGTATTTATTCTATTTTTCCTTTTCAAGTTCTTATTGCTTTGGATTCCCGACCTTTTCTTTTGTCTTTCTCAGGGACATTCCCATAGCTCTAAATACTCGATCGACAAACGTCCTTGCTACCCTGACAAGAACTAAATTGAAGTTGAGCCCTGAATAATCTTTTAATTGTAGCGAATCGCAATTGCTAATCCCATGTGAAGAAATTTTGTGTCTTCTGGCAAGTCGGATTCGAGAGAGGTTTCAAGATTCATGTTTCCATTTTTATGATCTACAACATTGTCATACTTTAGGTCAGTTCTCACAGAAATCACAAACTAGTCAAAGCGAATTTCATTGGTTGAAAATAATCAAAAACACTCTGACTAGTTTCTGACTACTATGAGAACAGACCTAATCTTCATCTCGTTCTTCTTCTTCTTCTTCTTCTTCTTCAAGTTCTAAACTTTTCGTAGTTTCGGGTTCAGTTATTGGGAAACTCGTTGGGACATCAAATTCATTTCAAATTGTCTAGCACTCAATGTTGTCTACTTCCTTTTATCAGAATCACATAAATTTTCCTGCGGAAATGCGTCATTTCCATTTTCCGGACTTTAGAATAGCTGAAATCAGTTACATTAAAAAAATTGTTTGCTTTGCATTTTCAACATTTTTCTGAATATAAAAACACAAAAATTTTCCTGCGGAAATAAGCTGTTTCCTTGCTGTTTTCATTTTTCGGAGAAATTCATCAGACTTTAGAAGAGTCGAAATCAATTGCATGAAGTTGTTGTATAAGTTGTATATATTTCAGACTTAAAACAGAGTTTCATAGCGTTATCAAAATCTTAAAACTAGGTTAGAATCAATTACAATTACAATTAATAAAATACTACATCACTTAATGGGTATATCACATCTGTATAAAAAATTTTAAACATTATAAAAGGACAGTACTAAGTAACTATGAACGGTTAAGACTATTCAAAACAAGTTAAAAATCCAAATCTGTGACCTGATATTGCAAAAATTCTTCTATTGAATAAAAGCACTTACTTAACAAGAATTGCTTGATTTTATTTTTAAATGGCTTTATTGGAATGTTTCGTATCGTATGAGCCAGTTTGTTGAAAAATGCCGGTGCATAATATCGCGTTGCGCTCCAGGAGGTTTTTAAGCGTGAAAAGTCAATCTGCACGTTATAACGTTGGCGAGTGTTGTAATTATGGACCTCTTCGGCACGAGTGTAGTTTGAAGAGTTACTATGAAAATATAGTAGAGACTCTAGGATATATTGTGCTGGAAGAGTTAATATTTTTAGGTCCCTAAAGGACGGTTTGACATCATCTCGGTATTTGATGCCAGCTACAATTCTAACTGCTCTTCTCTGCAGGCCAAAGATGCGAGAGGTATGACATGAGTGTCCCCATGCTAGGAGTCCATAGACGCTCACTGAATGAAATAGACCATAATATGCCATTTTTGATGTTTCTTTATCTACAATTTTCGATATATTACGAAGAACATAGATTGCGGAGCAAAGTTTTTTTGAAATAATGTTGACATGCTGCTCGAAAGTCAGCTTCGCATCCAATGTAACTCCTAAAAATTTGATTTTTTCTGGGTTGTCTTGAATTGTAGTTTTCTTGAGAGAAAAGATTATGTTTTCTGTTTTACTTTGGTTGACATTCAGAAGATTGGAGTTGAACCAGTCAACAGCAGTTTCGACATGTCTCGTCATCTCCATTTTGGTAACATCCAGTGTTTTGGCTTTTATGGAGAGTCCATTATCGTCCGCGTAGATAACAACCTGGCATCCGGACAGGGCAGCTGCAAGGTCATTTATGTATATAAGGAACAACAGTGGGCCCAGTACCGATCCCTGAACCACACCGTGCCTCATGACTCTCTTCTCTGAGCGCCTACCCTCCAACTCCGTGATCTGCCTTCGTCCCGAGAGGTACCCAAATATCAAATTCACGCTGAATTCACAGAGCCTGTAGTATTTTAATTTTTCTATAAGGATATCATGTGATACACAGTCGAAGGCTTTGGAGAGGTCACAGAAGGTGGTGGACACAATCTGCCCCTCCTCAAAGCCCTCAACTATGAAATCACAGAGCTTTAGTATTGCCCCAGTGGTGGTTCTGCCCCTTCTAAACCCAAACTGCTCTTCTATGAATAAGTGGTTTCCCTCAAAGTACATGTAGAGTTGGTCCTTCAAGAGAACCTCAAGGATCTTGGAGAAGACGGGGATCAAAGAAATTGGTCTGTAATTTGATGGTGGTGTCTCCACTTTTGAAGATTGGCACAGTTTTACTAATTTTGAGCTCTTCAGGGTAAGCACCTTCTTGGATACATTTGTTGAAAATTTTTGCAAGCGGATAACAGAGAATCCCACCAAGTGCCTGTATTAGCACTACACTAAGGTCATAGAAGTCCTTGCTGTGCTTTTTTTTTAAATTATTAAGAGCTTGAAGAACTTCGAGTGGGACTACACTGTGGAAAGAAAAGTGCAGGTTTGGGTCTCCTAGGTTACTGCTCTGCATATACAGAACTGGCGATGTGTCGACTGCTGGTAGATTATGAATGAGGTTTTCAGCTATGTCAGCAAAATAATCATTACATTCATTTGGGTCTATATTTGCATTTGCTTTAGAAGTGCTGTTTGGCATATATTTTTTTATTAGATTCCATGATGCTTTTGCAATGTTATCAGAATTACGGATATAATTTGAATTTGCTTGTTTTTTTGAGTTTTCCATTTCATTTCCGTACCTGTTCCTCAGCGTGTTTCTCTCTGTCCGCAGCACAGGACAGTCAGTTTCTGAGCACATTTCATTTAATGTGTTTAGCTCATGTCGCAGCATCTGTAGTTCCTCTCCAAACCACTCAGCTCCGGGTTCCTGGGTGCTTTTCTTTGGTCGTCTAGTCACTGGAAGTGCAATGTCTCGATATGATAGAAATCTCTGAAAAAATTTGGTGGTACTCAGCATTGTCAGTTTCCAAGAATGACCAGGTTTCATCCTTCAGCAAGTCGCACATCTTTGCAATTCCTATTTTTGTTATGGGACGATAAAGAGATTGGTTTATTTTTAGGTTTTCATTTTTTAAAATAGGGATGACATTTATTTCACATTCGATTGCCCCATCATGATCAGACAGATTTGGATTAAAAACATTTACTTTACATTCACACACATTTTCAAGATTTACAAAGATATTATCAAGACGATGGTTTTTACGTGTATTTACAAAGACTTTTTCCCTATAATCA